ACGGTGAAGAGGAAGTGGCAATGAGAAAGCAACGAGTACCTAGAGGAAAGTGGGGCTTTTTCAACTATGTGAACTGCCTTTTGTCTTCAACAACACGCAGAAGTGATGAATCTAAAGAACAGTTCCGCCGACGAGTTCATCTAGTGGCCAAGCAAACATGGAAGGCACACAGCTTAGTTGCTGAAGAAGCCCCCACCTGGAGATTGATTGTTTTTTTGGGGGAAGCACGTGCGCTGCAGGGAGCTATATAATATATTTATACAGTATACATACACACTATTAATATATATATATATATTTCGTATATTTATATATACATATTGCGCAACACAAAATGTACCTGCAGTACTGCAGTACAGTATATGAAATTGAAAGGTGCTACAAGGATTGAGCTTGTGGCGACTATCATTCAAATGCAAACACAAATTAATGTCAATACAGTCAATACAGCATCAGCATGGATATTCAGGAGAGTTTGTACTGTAAAGTCGACTCTAGTCACCTTGCCCCACTTTCTAAGGATGACGACGCCTTGCGAGCGAGATACAAGGTTCAAGCGCAGGATGAGTTGTGTGGTGCCACAAGACACAGTCGGAGTCAACGCATGGACACAGAGGACGATGCAAATTGTGGTTATGGCTTACTTGGGCTTGGTGATAGAAACTATGCCATCAACCAAAGTCTGTTCAAAGAATGTTCATCCGAGAAAGGCTTTGTTGACCGTCTGGCACAGCAGTTCCGACAAGAGCATGGATTTGCACTTGACAGTGGGGCTATGGAAATTCAGACAGCTGCCAAGAAGCAATGCTTCCTTTTCTGCACAACCACTGGACTTTATGGAAAGGACCCACTTATGCGCAAGAAAGTCACCGGCTTGCTCTTGAACATATGCCGCAGTATGAAGCGACAGGTACGTGATGCAACCAAGCACATCACTGCAGACAATGGTAGGCATCCTTTGCTGCTGACACGATGGTTGACAGAAACTGGCCAACAAACCTCGATACAAGGCTGGCTGCTTGCAAAAGCTACGTTCAAGCCATTGCAGGTTGATGGCGTGTGCCTGGACTTGCCTGCCTTACTTGGCAAAGGGGCTTCAATCAATCTGCGATTGAAGCAAGTTTACAAATCAAGCACGCGTTCATTTGATTTCAAGTGCATGCGCGAGATTGCTGCAAATATCGTGGGAGCACATGCGACGCCAGACACAATGCAGTATTGCTACAGTCCTGTGTACACTATTGGGGGCACAGACTTCAATCTGGCAACTTTAACACTTGTCGATGATTTGGATTGGCATCCCCTTGGTGGTCGTTTGCCGTTTGATGCAGGCTCTGATAGCGATGGTGGCAGTGAAGGAAGTGAGGATAAAAGAGTTCGGAAACAAATCGAGTCTGAAAGCAAGGAGTTAGAGAATATCATGGGTTTGTTGGGCTTGGCACCTTCTACATCCTCTAGTGCAAAGAGTGCATCAACTAAACCGAAGCCGAAACCAAAGTCAAGTTCAGCTAGGGCGACCTCCACACGAAAGGAAGAGCCTGCAAATGATGCTGCAAATGGAACCTTTTCTAAACACTTCACTTCAGAGTGCGACTAAGTTTGTGCTTCCTCGCTGGTCCTAGCTGTTTCCTAGCTGGCTGTAATGTGAAATGTGTCTCTGTCTCTGTGACATGCTGTTGTTGTGTTGCCAACTCAATACCATAGTCGGTCTAGTCTAGTCGGTATTCGTACGGAATTGTTTTCACATTTCAGAATACTTGATGATCTGCAGCAGTGGCCAATATTCAGCATTGCCCCACAGAGAACATGCATTACCAATGTCAATTACTATGACAATGACTCTGACTATGATTAATGATTCAATGACCACATGACTATGACTATTACTCAAATATGAATCTATGAATCACCTAAGAACAATGAACACTAGCATTAGTGTTCTGATATATATTATATATATACATACTTCATACAAACATGACATACAGAACTGACATGCACTGACATACCTACTTTTGGAAAACTAACTGCTAATAATCACAATGACAATGACAATGAATGATGACCATGATTTGTCGCTACTAACTACTAATTATGAGTGACTGTTTACTCATCACTGATCACATGTTAATATAATATGATGATGATACTGGATACTAATTACCACTATATTCAACAGCCCCGTCATCAAACACGCCTATGTTAATCGTATTGACTACATACAGGTACACATACAGATACAGCATCCTGTCTACAATCAATTGGACCATGAAATAACTATTTAGGAGAAGCACTTGCTATTGTCAGAATCAATGCTCCTTCCTTTCCTGATAAACCCACCTCGGTAGGAAGCACTACAAAGCAAGTTCAATCAGAGGAAGCAACAAAAGACTCAATCAATAACCATTTGAGTCATAGACCTAGGAAATAGTATAAGTATAGTATAGTATAGTCTAGTATAAACCATATTACATACATACAGTGTACTGTCTGCTAAAACTATAGGTTGGAGTTGGGTTGGATAGAATATTACGGAATTATGGAGGTACTGATATAGCAAGAAGTGTGTCGGGAAGTGTTGTTTTTGTTGAAGCTGAAGTGTACGGCTCAGGAGACTTGCCAAAAGACGAGCAGGCCGAGGTTGACCCAGAGTTGTCAGAACTCCTTGCCGAATGGTTGGAAGCCAGGGACAGGGCCAAGGGCCACTGCTCTTGCTTCTCATTTGATCCACAGTCTGACCCACCTGATGTTCCTACTGCTGCCCCCCACGCAGAGAGGTCGGAAGGACCGCAGTCAGAAGGAGCGCACAACTCAAAAAGAAGCTTGGCTTGTACTAAATACTATCACTATGAATCAGGACATCGAGCTGAGCCTGTTGCAAGTAGGGAGAAAGAACACACAAAACAGGGAAGTTTATTCATGTTTAAAGCATATGGCTGTTGCATTGAATAGCGCGGAGAGGACACAAGGATCTCAAGAGTGATAGGACTAGGAGCGCCTCAATTTGTCCACAATTTGACCATGCAATGTAAGGCGTCGGCGACGGCATCTTCGTCTTCGTCTGCGCGTCCTTCTTCCCCCAGACGTCGGGAACCACCATACTTTCTTGCAGATGATGGCTATGTCTACCAGCAGGAGAGGGTCGATGGCCCAACAGAGTACTTGGGAGTCTTGGCCAATTTTGTTTCATTGCTTGCATCGGGCCGGTCAAGTCTATCTATCGCCGATCGCCTATCGCTATCACCCACAATTGTGTTTATATTTATCCGTGCAGAAACCTGCAGCTGTAAAGCATGCATTTGAGGACGCATCACTGAGATCAAGAAGGGCCAGAAAGGGCATTCCATAGCTGTCCGGTGTCAGCGGCATGGATGCAGTGTGGTCAAGTCTTGGAAAGCTTTTGCGCCTTCAGGACAAGGGACCACTGACAAGGTAATGGCGTGGCTTTACCATGGGGCATCAATGCCACGCTCTTCCAAAAAAGAGCACACACAATTGTATGGAGCACTCTGGCTTTCTTGATGTGTGTGAATGATGGTAATGATAAGCAGTAGGGGATACGATCAGGTGTGCTGTGCATATTTGAAATTGGACAGTGAAATTTCTGCCAGGCAATGGTGACATATTGAGCAATACCCAGCAGGATCCAACGGATGCAGCAAATGCTGCTTGAGGCACATGGAGGACCTGGAGGGAACACCCGCTCTGGAGGATGCATTCACTGTGAACGCTTAATTCATTGGGTACCCGGGCTGGTTCCTGGGAAGAAGCAGTCACAGACTGGTTCAATCAGAGGTGACAAGTGGAAAAGTCTTGCATTCCAGCATATACCAGCATAGCATAGCAGTATATACTGGTTCACTGGTTCATGTACTCGTACATTAAGGCGTTCACTCGTGCACATGTACTTGCACACACGTATGTCCACATGTACAGTTTTGACTCGTACAAAAATAAGGTCGACTACGGGGGTCAAAGTCAACCTTAATCTAAGTTAAGGTTGACTTTGACCTAAAAGTCAACCTTATTTTTGTACGAGTCAAACCTGTGCGTATATACGTGCATGTGTGCAAGTAGTATATACGTGTACGTGCACGAGTGCACGTGCGAGTGCACGTGTGTGTGGACATGTGCATCAATTGCATTTACTGGAGTGTTTGGTGTTCGATTCGTACCACAACAGCCCATTTTGCCCAAAGCCCGAGACGTCCGGGCCATATCACACCTTGTGAACCAACATGGCCCTCTCCAAGGTTGAGGCGGACAAGGTAGTTGTAGTGCTCAGGTGCCAGTTCTGTAATGCTCTCTCTTCAGATCCGGCTCCTTACGAGCCCCGCGACAAGGCCAAGGACAAGTGGTGGCCAAAAATTGCCTGGTTCCTAGGAACCCGCGATACTCCGCGTGGGTTGACATGTTTGATCTGTGCAAATGTGCCTTTGTTGCAGCCGGCAGTTGTGTCAACACTTGTGTCAACCAGCATGCATGCTGCCTGCCTGCCTTGCCTGTTGCCTACCTCGAGTCAGGTGCACGAATCCGGAGGCTGGTCTGTTGAGATTGGGTCAGTCTATCCGGAAATGCGCCAGCCTGTTCAAAACCAATCCTGTCAGATCGCATGCGTCGATTGAATGAATTCAGTTGTGTTACTGTTACTAGTTACTATTACTGTTACTATTACTACTACGTTACTGTCTACTGCATGTTGAGTATTTATGAGTGTGGTTAGGCTGCTGTCTAGAGTGACTTAGGTGGATGCAACAACGGGAGGCTCTGATCAAGCTCCGGATTGAAAACCCCCTTTGCAGGATTCGTAATTCAGATCAACTTGGTCCAAGGGTGAACCTTCGCTGATGTAGTTGCAATTGTAGTGCTGAACTCTGAGTGTTTGTACTGGACTGTACTGTGTTGTGTTGTGTCCTTGACATTGATATTAATATTATTTATTATAGATATTGATATTGATACTGTTTTTTTGCCAAGGATGGTCACCGCAGAGGAATCAAATGTTGAGGAGCTTATTGCTCCTTTGCAATTCTTTGTTGAAGTCAGCAGCTATGCCGTTATCAAAGGGGTGATGCCAATTGAGCACGAGATCGCTTACCGCAAGTTTAATGAGACACCTGTAGCTGGCATGTCTTTGTCTGAAAGCTAGCCATTATATATAGTTCACTGACTCAGTGATTGTATCCCGCTGTGACTTGTGACTGAAACATTGACTTGCAATTTTCAGCATTTGGAATTTGGAATTCATAATTGCACTGCATTGGCATCGGCTTTCCTTTCCTCAACTTGAGGTGGTGTGTGTGGGACGAGAATTTCTACAAGCTTGGGAAAGCGGGATGCGAGGAGTGTACAAACTTGAGAGCAAGGCAACCACTGGAGTGAAGCGCCATCATGAGCTCCACAACAGTGACAACGACCTCCAACTCTGCGATGATCTGGCAGGAAAGACGCTTGGTACAGCCATTGATAATCTGCTTGGTAGACACAAGGCCATCACCTGTGATCCATGCTTGATGAAATCATCAGCTCTTCTGGATCTTATTCCAGACAATGAAGAGCCTTTGCCGCCAACAGCGACAAAAGCTGCAGCTACTGTAGCTTCCTCTCCATGTTCTACTGCTGCAGCTCCTTCAGTTGCAGCTGCTGCTGCTGCTGGTGTGCCAGAGGAGGAGATCTCGGTTCCATCAATGTTTGCAAGCTTCAAGCCAAAGGCTGCCGATGTACCCGCTGCCAGCAAGGCCAAAGCAAAGGGGAAAGCCACCGCCAAGGCGCCTAGCCTGCATGCATGTGGGAGGGCGGGGCGGGGCGGGGGGAGGGGGGGGGGGGTCTCTATTCATCTACTCATCTACTGATCCAAGGTGAAAGCGAAGGCAAAAGCCAGTGCTGGTGATATTGCTGGCCTTTCCATGTTCGAGAAGCCCAAACATACTGATGATCAATGTGCTGGACAATCACCGAAACGCCAACGTGTGAACAATGCTACGAAGCGAGTCTCCATGGTTGAGAACATGGAACCCCTGTCAAAGACATGCAGCATGACTGAACACATGCAAACCGCAGATGCCACTTGGTGTGATGAGTACAAGGGCAAGGTGGAGTCTCTTTTGTCTTTCACTCCTGGAGAAAGTGATGCTGACTTCAAGGCTGAGTTCATTGCCGAGACGAAGGAGCTCAGCGTGGTCCTCCAAGGAGTCAGAGCAAGGAAGCGCACCCTCAATCGCAGAACTGAGGAGAACAAGGAGCAGCCAATGAAGGTTGCCGAAGCAATGGAGACTGCACTTCTCAAGCTCAATGACTTTCTGAAGTTGATCAACAAAGGCAACTCGAGCTCGGGAGATGATTGTATTCATCAATTGTCAGAGCTTGTGGATCTAGGCGCCAACTTTGGCCCATATGTCTTTGTCAGAGCTGGCAAGATCAAGTGGAACGAAAGCTGCAGAGATGGACTGACATGGTCGGCTCAACTTATGACTTTGTCTCAAAGCACCTCAGTGGTACCGCCTTGGATGCTGCTTCCTTTCTGGAGCAACAGGTCCTAGTAGTCTTGCAGAAGCTCATCAAGGGCATCAACGAGAAGAAAGCTTCTGCCTTGTGAATTAGTTTCAGTGGTTTGTTTAGTTTTGTGTGCCCACCCCCCAATGTAGTAGACTGACTAGTAATCAATGATTCAATGATCAATGATCAATGATTCATTGATCAATCAATGTCAATGCCCGTCTTTGCCCGGATCAGTGATCAGGTTGCACTATCCGCAAACTGTGATGAGCTGGCTTCTTTGCGCGGCTTTATCAAGACCATGTCTGCGGAATTTCCACTTGAAAGCTTCCGTTGCCAATGCAAGCACATTGGTGACATTGTGAACGCTTGCAGCACCCCTCCTACTGACATCACATCGACCCTGGATACTATGAAGAAGGCAGGCACAGAGGCTTCTGCTTTGGTCTCTTTCCGGTGCCTACCCCAGGGAAAGAAGCTCATGGCTCTGGCTGAGGAGTTTGCATCCACCAAGACACACTTGGTTCAATTTCTCAAGGGCATGAAGGATATTTGCTTTGAAGCTGACACATGCTTCGACAGCCTGGACGGGCTCAATCAGGAAGCTGCATGTGGGAAGCTTCAAGGCCTCACTTCAGGAATGAAGAAGCTCTTGGCACAGTGTGATCCATCCAAAGATGAAGGGTGTGCAGCTGCTGCGGACGATGCTAGGAAGAAGCTCTCTCACCTTGCACTTCACCTAGTCAGCCACCATTTGAAGCTGGATGGGTTGCCGTGGCTGCAAGTCACGCAAGTCCAAACAACCGCTTTGAAGGCCACCAGGACTATGTCGAAGCCACCAGCGTTTCCTGTGCTGAAGATGAACTATTTGCTGGAGTCCTCATCAACTCAAAAGGTCTCCACCCTCAGTGAACTCGAGAAATTCTATGATTGTCTTGGCGCTCTCGCAGTGCAAGTCGACTTGAACTTTCGCACTGTTCCAGGCTCTGCTACCTCGCAAGAGCTACGATCCATTGCAGTGGAGCTTTGTTCAAGCTATACCACCTGGCTTCATTCCAAGAATGCACTTCTAGTGTCAAATCCATCCGCATTTGGGGTCATTCAAGCGTTTGATGAAGAGGTGAAGCACCTCATTACATCGTCTTGCTTTAGGACATGGGCTGAAGCAGTCGACCTACCGATCCAGGTTGTGTCTAAGCTTGTTAGCACAGCCTGGAGAGTCGATTCCAACGCACTACCTGATGACATGGTGCAAAAGGCCGAGGATTGTATTCCAAATGCCCAGTTGCTTGCCACGGGGCTGGAGGAAGGAAATGGGAGCGAGTCAGACATCACCAAGTCAGTGAAGGGTGCCACAGACTTTCTCAGTAGAATTGTCAAGTTCAGCAAGGTTGTGCAGTCTGATGATGCTGATTCTCCACCAAGTGCATCCGGTGTGATCCAATTGTTTGACCTTATGATGTCTCTCGGGCTTGCTTCCTCGTCTTTGGAGAAAGACATCAAGCTCGACAAGACTGTGCTGATGTACCTAGCCCGGAGTTGCTTTATTTTTTTCATTTTAGTTTAGTACCTACTGACCTACTGTACTGTTAAGTTATGTTACTTACACTCTTCGTGTTCACGGGTTTTCATGGTGGTGCTTAGCTTCTCTTTACAAACCATTTTCAACTTTGGCCAAGGCAAAAGGCAGAAGAGCTATACAAGGTGATTTGGTCAGACGAAGTTCGGAAACATTCCCAGGACAATACCATCGTTGAGGGGCAGATGTTGGTGGATTTCTTGGTCGCTTGGAGATTGAAACACAAGGCTTCTTTCCTAGCCTCTGTTTCCGAAGTAGTGGGATTTTTGGAATTAACTTAATCGCCGCAACTCACTTTCATTCGAGGAAGGGTTGCACATCACCATGAACAAGACCTTCTCGTTTTTGGCTGATCAGCATTCACAGACCTTGGTGAACCTGCAGGGCGAGTTGCAGCACTTCAAGCACTTCCCAGAGACCAAGGAGGGCAACGAGGAAGCTTTTCTCAGTCATTGGGGCACCGGTGACAGCTACAAAAAGTTCTCAAGTCTTCTTGATCGATTGGAATCCAGCTTGTCCTCCCCCAAGGCAGATTGCGAAGTCATGAAAGTGCCTGTGGAACAGCTCGCGCCATCTGTTCAACAGGCTGAAGCAGAGCGGAAACAGTGTTTGCTGGTGGTCACTGTTTATGCTGCTCTCAAGATCTTGTGGTCACAAGCTGCCAAATGCAAGTCCGCGAGCCTCCGTCCCTCTGTGCAAAAGCTTCTGGAGTTTGCCAAAGCCAAAACAGTTGAAGTGCCACCATTTGTGATCAAAGGGCTGCAGCAGTTGCTGGGCACACTTCAGGATGCAGCCGCCCCAAGCGGAAAGAAGCGTAAGTCTCCAGAATGTGGCGCAAACAAGTGAAGGGCAATTCCAAGCCATTTTGGCAAAGTTTCACTTTATTTTGATTTTGGGTTGCTATTGAGTGCTGGCTATGGCTATGGCCTATGGCCCATGGCGTATAGCTGATGGCCGTCGATCATTGACGGATCTGCGACACAGCAACCTAGTTACTTGCAAATGAAATTCAATAGACAAAGTGTGACAGGTTCTTAGATACAGATAGGCTGTCAGACTGTGACAATCGTCCATGGTCTATTGTACTGTACTGTACTGGTAGGGTAGGCTGCTCCAGACTTGTGCGGTTTGGCTGCGGGTTCCGGGCTGCAACATCTGGAGGCGGAAGGGAAAAAAAGCACACACTTTTTTGGCGGGCTTTAGTAGCTTTACTTCAGACTACGGATTCACGCTTTCTCTTGAGGAAGACATGTGACACGTGGCAAATGCGGAATGGGAGTCAGAGTCAGAACTGTCTGTCAATCTCAATCATGTTTGATGTGGAGTTGATATTGTCTGCGCTGCACCATCATGTGAACAATTCGGATACTGTTACAGCCACAGCATTACTTGCTGACTGCCGCCTTTGTCACAATGGCAGATCGATCAAGGTCAATCAGTGTAGTCTAATCTAGTGTTGTTTCACTGAGACCAGCAATGCCGCAACCAGCTGCAAAAAAGGCCAAGCCAAGCCCAAAGCCACAGGGTGCATTTGGAAAGGGTGATATGCGCACATACGCCCAGCCTACGCCCAAAGTCAAAAATGAGCCTGCTGCCAAGGTCAAAGCCGAGCCTGTTGATGCAGATTCCAAGGCCGCGTTTGCAGTGTGGCAAAAGAAGGTGGTTGGGCAATCCTATGCTTACTACAAGCAACGTTCTGACAAATGGTTTGCAGAATTGTGGAAGCGCAGGGAGACACGCATTACACATCCTGACTTTGCAGATTTTCTGCTGACACAGAAGGTGCCCGACCTAGATGGTAAGTTGGGATTTGCAGTGAAAAACCCTAAAGAATGGTGTGACAAATTTGACGCCTATGTGAAGGGCAAGCCATGTCGGGAAGAGCCAGCAAACGAGACCTTTGAGGATGCTCTTGCCGCTGCGACTGCCGAAGCATTGGCAAGGGTGGATCAGGATGTAAATATGCAGCAGCAGCCATTCACTGCGGAAGATGGTGCTGATGGCGATGAGACGGCGCGATGAGACGGCGGCAATACATGATGCAGCTGAAGATGCAGCATATGATAATACTCCGGCATCTGCTCAGGAATGTCAAGATGAAGTTACGAAAGGCCAATCCTACATCAATGACTGTGCTATGCGTAAGGAGAATGAAAAGTTGAAAGCCCAAGAAGCTGCAAGAGCCGCATTTGAGGCACATCATTCCAATGATGCGGCCAGTGGCAATGATTCCAAGTCCATCGAGAACAAGCCAGTCGAGGACTCTAGCGAGTTGAAGGAAGCTACCATCGAGACCAAGCCAGCCGGGGACTCTAGCGAGTTGAAGGAAGCTACCATCGA